CTACTCTTTCGCTCAGTTTGACCAGCTTGGGGTACTTGGCCAGAATATCCTTCCGCTGGCCGAAGCACACGTCCAGACTGACCCAAACACTGATATCGGCCAGGGAAATCTGCATTGAAATAATAAAGGGAAATGGATTGATTGAAATGTTTAGTTGTGGCCGAAAAACGGCATCTACCTGTGTGTTTCCCTGCATCGATAAGACAGGTCTCTCCCTATCAAGGTTGTGGTGGGGAACTTTATCCATGATGCCCCCTTTGTGGCAGCACACTTCGAATGACATTTTAAGCTCATTTTATCCGTAAACTACAATATGAGAAGGCAGGAGGCCTGGGAATGATGGTGAAAGACTCAAGTTCCCAATAAATATTGCAAGATGACTTTATGCGCTTGAGCATTTACCTTGTCTCCGATGAAGAAGCCGTCACCTCCTCCGTTTTTCACCAGGTACTTTTCAAGACACTCTAATATCACAGGAGCTCTGTTCTCGTAATAATTCTTAATAGCTTCGGCCTGCACGTTTCAAAAGAAACAAACAAAACTAATCATATTTTATCGTCTCGAAAAAACTTCTTTGAAGATTGTCTTTATTTCCAGAAGAGAATGTTTTGGAGTCACCACTTTAAATGTATAACCAGATATACTGTAGATCGTCTGTGACTAATTTTCCCGACTAAGTGATACATTTCTAACGGGTACCTTATTGGTCAAGTTTTAAAGCTTGGTGAGCCTTTGTTGACATACAGCTTGGGCAGACAACGTCATGCGTTTGGCAAGTAGAATGTGTCACTGCTTTTACCCCATGGGATATAACCCCTGTCTGCACGCCGCAGTCAAAATGCAAAACAGACGAGACAACCCTTCCACACCCTTAAGTTACTTAAGCAATCGACTGAAAGACCGACGCAAACGGCCCCGAATGACGGGGAGTAAGCTATACACGGGGCTGAAGCAACCCAAAATATTTTTTTTCTCTCCAAACGTCAGATGCTGACGACCGACCTTCCTGGATTCATCTTTCTCGAGGAAAAGCACATCTCCTAGAGGTTGCAAGAGGTCATCCGCAGTATCGCAGATCACTTCCACCATCAGCGTCTGCCAGCTATCGCTCCCGTGGAACCCTAAAACGAAAATCATGGTGCATGACGAAATCGTCGTGAATATTATCGAGGGACCATTCACAGGGAAGATCTCAAGAGGACTGGGGGAGAGCGTCAATTCCACTTCGCCATTTCTGAGTGAAGATACTTCCTCCCCTGTCCCTTATACCCCCTCTCCCTCCTCCCTCCCCCTCCCTCCCCCTCCCTCACTCCCTCCCTCCCCTCTCCCTCCCTCCCTCCCTCAACTTCTTAAATGGGAAATACGTGATAAACCCTTGATCTGAGTGCTACACTGAAAAATATTATCGCGAGGGTTAAATCCAGGAATCAGCATCTTCTCGTGTGGGACAATCAAAGATCCCATCGGTTACATACAATCGGTATTCAGTTCGGTTTCATTAAGAAATCAGGCTATGCTGTGGGATTATATACCCCCTGAACATCATAAAGGAAGAACCACCGTATACCCCTCCCCCTGAAAAGTTCAGTTTAGCTTTGCACACCGGATCCAGGCTACTTTACCGAATTCTCTGGCTAAATACCCCGCCATGGCCCGGCTCTGTGGTATCTGTTGCCCATCGATTTCCAGCACTGGCAGCTGTAGCAGTGGGAACTCTGCAAGTGTGCCAAAAGTGTGATGATTTAAATCTGAGTGAAAAAAGGGGCGGGAAGGGACCTCTCACCCACTTCCTTTCAAAGTCTATCGCCGGGAATTCTGAAGGGCTTTTGCAATATGCTGGAACCTCCTTCACCTACATGTGTAAGCTGAACAGTCGGTGTGTCATAAGCCCCTTGTCCCTATTTTTTCTCTTGATTCTCTTAGAGGTGGATTAAGTTTCTTTTTCGACAGGTGCATGTAAATAACATACGTCCGTCGCATAAATTGCTGTTATCATAGCTGGACTCTCATTTAAATAATTATTTTATAGCACCTCTCACTTGATTTTTCGGTAGGCCAATCCTTGTGCGGGACCCTGACGTCTTCGAACTCCTGTCCTGCAAGTTTAAACAACAGGCGCGTCACCTCGGCCCTGCCCCGGTTGTTGAAGTACATCAGTCGGTAGGTAGGCATAGTGAACGCTCAGGTCAGCGCGGAAGAACCGTTGTTGAATAGGTAGCGAGTAATTGTGTCAAACAACTTCTATAGGTTTGCGTTAATTAATTAGTGGAATCGGTCAATTTAATTGGCAAACAAATGGCCAATCGTAGTAACGGGAACACAGGATTTGTTAGCCACAGGTTGGGCTATATACTGCAGAACGGCACTCTTAATAGGCCTACGGGGCCAAGGGGTTATGATGAAATTAAAAAACGCACCGTAAGTACCCGTTTCAGGGTGTGTAAACATTAGCGAGATCGTGCCATATCAAGAGCAATCAAAGTTCACGGGAATAACGAGGGCGGTATATTTACGTGCATTGTTTAGTCAACACAAGAATACTAAATCAGGAGCTCAATGCAAGGCGGGGGGGAGAGTAGACAAATCACCGATGTCAAGTTAGTTACTTATTCGTCGACATTCAATGTTAAATTGTCAAACAACTTCTAAAAGCAATGAAATAGCCAATTAACTTGACATTCAATGTTGAATTGACTGTTGAATGTTAGATATTCGGTGTTGTTGAATAAGTGGCAGTTTCACATTTGGCGAGCGCTCAGAATGCAACACCCTTAAAAAAAAGCCCTTGCTAGCATTCTGGTCGCAACATGGAGTGCAAAAGGCACAAGAAACAAGCGGCGCCACTATGCACATACATTGACATACATGTACATGCCACTTCACCATGATGTATGCACACACAACTCTTCCCACAGTAGTGACTGGGATGATTATTTGAAAGACGGAAAAAACGGGAGAAGAACTGCACTTTTGGTGCGTCGGGGACCTGAACCCCCAAGTGCCCCCCATGCGCCACATTGAAGGGATCCTGCGCGGCAAGAAGTGAGCTTGAGTTGGCCCTCATGGGGTTGAGTTGTTGTTTTGCAGATGCTGTTGTGGTTACGTTTAATTAAAGAATTCACAGAGATGTTAGTTGGTGATTAGTTTCCTTCACAACACAAAATTCGTACCTGAGATTTTTGACGGAAAACTCCGGTCTTCTTTAGCTGGATGACCCGGATGTTGAATCTGTACAGTGTGACAAGATCGTGATGCCAACAGCAGAGCGTACGTAGGCTTTGGAGAAATGATACAGCCCCAATTCCGGTTTATGGATGGATTTGGGAGTCTCATGTAGAACATCGTGGGCAACTTCCACACCTCGAAATTCCATGCATCTGTCTCCTTGATGATTTCGATGTAAGCCGACAATTGATTCGCTATGTATGTTGAACTCCTCGAACATCGTTTCTATTTCCCTTATATGATTAAATTTGTAATAATTTACGTCACTCTTCTGTTACTGTTACTGTATTTAATGTGTAACGTTAATGTTTTGTTGTCTAGTTTTGTGTGTTTTGCAACGTCTAATGCGCTGTAAACCGGTGAGCAATGTAATTTCCTTTATGGAGTAATAAAGTTGAAATTGAATTGAAGATGTAGCGCAAGACGACGGTACGTGCTCCATAAACCCAGGTTTGAGGGATCGACGTCTGTAGTGTCCGTCATTCGTAGGTCTAAGCGTGCGATTTCAGTCTAGTTTGTCATTGCCATCGGATGTGTTGGTGGATCAGACTGTGAGAACTGAATCAGTGCAAAGTTAAAAACAAAGTTTTTCTTAAGAAAATAATTTAGTATCCATTTACAGCCTCAAAGTTCCTTCATTCACAGTTATGTACAATGCCTAAAATCTTAATTTTGGATTTTTGCCCTGCCCGACGTGTATTTGGCAAAAAAATCTCCCCGGCGCAAATCCTTCTTTGAAATAGTTATCCTGAAATCTTGGTATTCATAAAAAACTGTACGTCAGAGTATTGTTTCAGAGTTTTATTAAAAGGTAATTACATTGGACACCAATAACATCAAAACCTATGCTTTGAAGTCAATACCTGCTCTCTGTGAGAGATTACCCAACATAACATTATGTACACAACCACAGAAAAATACATCCAAAGTGTAAAGTCCAATTAGTTATCTTCTACAGCAAAATACTCCACAGTTATGACGCATTGGAAGTAATTAAGCAGAGCAAATCATTGGAAAAGCCACCAAGGCTACTTGCAAATACAGAAAAGAACCAATCACCCGACACTAAAGGTTGACTCCATATATTACCACTGGTCTGGATTCGCCACGAAGGCTAAGCGTTGTCACAGAGGCCAAAATGTCACAACTAACAAACGCCACATTACACAGGCTCAATATAATGCCAAACGGTCTAAATATATTACCACACACGCCAAATAATGGGACACATGCTGAAATATAGCAAACTAAATTATAAAAACCAAGCCTTTAAATTTTGAAATTAACAGTTCATCGTGGTCCGGACAGGCCTCTGACGTCGAGTCTAAGACAGAAGTCGTAGCGCTCTGCCAACACAGGTAGCCACGTCCTCACTATACACAGCGCAGAACAGTCAGGATGGACGTCCGCTCGCCGTAGCAAATCGGACGACGAATTCCAAAGTTCTCAGGGTACATTTGGTTTGAATGTGGAATAAAATGACAACATTTGTCCCAAGGGGTGATTGCACTGAATGAGCTAGGCTCTGTGACCATAACCCGATAACAAAAAGATCATTAGCAAGCCATCACACCAAAACAAACCTATCAAAAGCCGTCGAGGTGTCATTTATATTCATATCACTTTATTTGTGGAATCAAAATACATGTATGTATGCTTGATTGAACAGATGCAATAACATTTCATTTTAGTTTGTACAAACAGAAAATATATAATTCTAAATTTGAAAATTACAAGCAAATACATGTAGTAATTTTAGACACAATTCCCACACACCATTAACATTTTAGAACTTTTTAAAGCATTTGGAGCTAAAGAAAGCATTTGCATTGATTTCCATACATCCATAAAAAGTTTAACATTATCAAACTAATGCAAAAAACACTCTATTCAGACGTTGAAACTGTTACTGTAGTTAAAAAAAAATTTATTACCTGAACATTTTCTTATAAACATAAATCTAAACCTCTTTTTTTCTGAATAAATATGAGCTGCAACTAACTTTTACAAACATCCATACTATTTATAGACAACATTATTTTCTTTAGAGAAAGAAACTTAAAAGAAATCCCAGCCTCTGGATCCTAACAGAAAGTGTCTTGTACAAACGAAACAAAATGGCGTCACCTTTCAAGGGGAATGTAAACAAAACTGTGCAAGCTTGTTTTACTGATACAATATGTGGCTAATCTCTCACTTCTTAAGAGAGAAAGTTCAGTCTGTGACTTCCTCTAACGTGGGACCAAGACGATTGAGAGTCGAAATGAGGCTAATTGCCCTATTGACAAGGCATGAAAGAACACTGTAGGCATGATTTAAAATTTACATCATTTGTTCCTAGTTTCGTTGATAGGTAGACAGAATTTCACTCTCTGGAAATATGGAGCTCTTCAAAAGGAAAGGTGGAAAGTTGAAATGTTTCAAAGCTCTGACCATCAACTCATAGTTGGCATACAGACTATGACATAACTGTTTTAGATGCTCATTTCAGGTACGTGTAGAGGTTTTTAGGGACACCAATTTGGACAGCACAGAAAAATTTAACAAACAACAATACCGTAACATAACTTGTCTCCTTAAAAAATCATCTTGGAAATCCTTCAGAGTTGATATTCAGTCCAGCATCCAGCCCTCTCTACACAGGGCCATCACTGGCTGCATTACATGAGTTTCGACTATGCAGCAAGTATTTCAGCTTGGAGTACATGGCATCTTAACACTGGCTACATAGGTACATACATACATGTACATATTTGTACACAATACTAAGTCAGACAATAGCACCAGAATCTTGTGCATGCTGCAAGTAATCTTGGGCAGCCTCAAACCGCGCTCCAATCAATCAAATGAAAAGGCATTTATGGACAGGAATAAAATGAGATTTCTTGAAGTCAGCATGACCCAAAACCTGGTGCTGCTAAGGTCCTGACCACTGAGTTTGGTTACCATCAATGGAATGTTCTTTGTGGTGGTTAAGTCCATCCATTGCCGTTCCATTGCACGGAGAAATTAAAAGAATTCTTGATTCGAAGTGTATAATGCAAAGCAATCTAAACTCTAAATAACGTAAACTTCAACATACATTCACATGAAAAAAAAAAAACGGTTCAGACCTTACATATCAAATGGCTTGGATTACTGCTTGCATGAATCTTATCACCAGATGAACTTCAAAACTACAAGTAGCTTTCACATGGAAAGACGTTTTGTCTACTTCTGAATGAACATTGAAAAATATCCTTCAAGAGAAGTCAGGACAGAGCAACAATGAACTACATGTGTAACTGTGTCATCATTCACAAGACTACACCTTCCTCATATACAATGTGCAGTTGGAGAGGTCTGTCACAGACCCCATCAACAAGTCACACACCAACAGAAAGATAGCTGGCGGGCCAAATTGATCTCATAGAGCTGTATGGCACAGAGATGGGCTCTGATCAGAAAATACCTGCTTAGCTAAAATGGGTAGCCAGTCACAATGTCACGCAAAGTACATTACTCAATACTCGTTCGGTGCTCAATTTTACTCGGCACATAACTTTGGCTATACAGTGTTTCCTCCTAAGCAGCTCAGTGAAGACAGCCACTGGCAGGTTCATAGTTTACTTCTCAAGTACTGATTTCTGTTTATGTACAACCAAACATATAGCTTAAAGGTACACAACCACCATTTTTCTTCTGCTCAGAAATACATATAAGCTTATACCCTTTAAAGACATGCACCCATTGGTATGAGAGCTGCTCAAGTTTAATACTTCACAAGAAAGGTGTAGATTCCCAGTGCATTCACAAATTAACCGATTTTCGACCATACATTTAATGTTAATGTAGAATATTTCTTTCCTGAATTTCAGAGAAAATGTATTAAAAAAATTAAAGTTTAATTCTCAGTGCTACTTCGCAATCGATCTGGTCAATCGCAAATTTCCATGAATCTTTGATAGTTGTGAAAGAGTTTCTTTTTTTATTGTGCTTTGTGCTTGAAGTATTGGTAATCCAATCCATTCCAGAAAAAAAGTGCTTCAAAAGAAACAGCTGGTGTGCGAGAATAAGGGGAAATAAAAAGGGAAATCTTGGTTTATAATTTAATTCAGAATTTCCTGAACGTTTCTTTGGGTGTTTAATTTTGTTTATGTATGAATACTGCCTCGTTTTCCAGACTGAGGTGTCTTTGGTTGTTTGGAACTCAAATGGTGCCTGTCTGTTGCAGAAAATGGCAGAAAAGGTAGTCTGTCATTCTTTTCTGTAGTATTTAATTTGGTTTATTTATAAATTTATAAATTTTTAAAATTGAAATCTATTTGAGGCCAGTGGGAGAGTCAACAGTCACTGTAAAGAAGAGTCTTTTAACCCGATATGGTCTTAAACAAACACCTACGGGATCATGGATACTCCAATGAAGAATACGGTACACATGTACATGTCTTCCTTTTATCCCATAAACGGCCAATGGATCCGATTGGTTCCTTTGCAATGGCCATGTTTAGTGCAGTTACTGCCTTCTTTGACAACTCTGGAACAAAATGTTGGCAGATATCCCAAGGGAACTGCTACAGCTGGGACTACTGTCGGTTGTCTTTTGCCAGGATATAATGCCCTGCACGGTGCCTGACCATGTGCCAAAAACTGATTTCAGGAGAGAGAAACTTTTCTGTTTTTAGGCTGAGGCAACAGCAAGAATGCATGTGAATATGTACAACGTACATCGTGCAAGCTCCTTAGGTCAGTTATACTGGTGATCAGACTTTTCTCTAATTGCTCCAGGCCAAAAAAGAAAAAAAAAATCAGACAGAATCTTGTGCAGCACTCAGGTGAAATTTAAAAGTATTGGAAAGGAATAGGATCACTTTGACATCCACTGGATTTTGGTGGATCAGGAAGATGGGAATTGACTTTTTACAATTAGCTATTTACAGTGGTTTTTCACTCAGGAATGGTATGGTTCCTTCACGACCAGCCGAATGTATTCTCCCCACTATAGGCCACATACAGGAATCCGTCGGAGTCTCTGTGTGCTTCATAGATCTGGCTCATTGTCGCACTGTCAAGGAAAAAACACACACAAAGGACTTGTCGTTACGTTAACTATCCCAAGCTAAACTTAAATCGTCCAGTACATGTAGGTTGAAAGATTACCTGATATGAGTGTAGTTGGATTTCAACTATACATACAGTCCACACTATGCTCAAAGTCTGGACTTGACGAGTCCTGTTTTCTGCCCAGACTTGGACTGCTTAAACCCTACCCCCCAGAGGGCATATGAAGAAAGGCTCAAATCAAAATTTAGGGATTGAGAATTAATGTATGAGGATTAAATAGAAGTTTAAGTCTCCATGTTGAACACAAGTGTAAAATAAACAGGAAATTAGGAATGGCACAGTCATGGATTGATGAATCAATTCCTACTGATTACATGCAACTTCCCTTGTACAAAATGCAAGCATCCTAATCTAGTAGTGGAATTCTGATACGATGTAACAGAGTGGAAGAAATGATGACAATGAAATTGATGTTACTGTTTACAAACTGTCATGACACACTGACATAATTCTATAATCCTATCACCAAAGAGATGCAGTTTATTAGCAGCAGAAATTACATGTTACCCTCGCTGGCCTTTTTTTAGTGGTCACAAAGTCCAACTGTGTGGCTGTAAATGACTTCATTCCCTACTGTCTTTCACTAAGACACAGGACCAAGTCCATCAAAATCCCACAATCCAAGCATCCGAACATTGCTCCCTGCAAAATCAAACTGTGATGGTCTGTTCGTGGAGTTACGGCTGACGTGAAAACACCAGTACAGTTGGTAACTCATGGTGCCAACAACTAACCTGGAGTTTCAAATAAAAAGACCTGGGACGGATATCCTGACATCTGAAAAGTTAGCAAAAACTTGACTTTCTGACCTTCTGAAATGCTCCTCTTAGGAGTCTTTCAACACATAAACAAGCACCTTCCTCCCTTCCTCCTCTACAATTGGCACCAGTGGATTTGCCCCCCCCAAAAAAAATACTTTAAATTATCTGCATAAAATGAACATAGTCTTTGTTACTAGAAATTATGTACAGTGCTTACACGTGGGAGTGCCAGGAAAATGAAGACTTCTGTTCTTCCTTGGTAAGAGCAGATTCTTTTTGTTCTCGTGCACTAAGAGTGTTTTGACCATAAGCACATAATTCAGTGGTCTGCATAGCCAAGAAGTTTGGCCTTGTATACTTTCACAGGAATGTTAAACTGAAGGTCCCAAATAGGGGGAGGGGGAGGAGTAGGAGGCAGGGGGTGGTGATAGGGGGGAGCGTGGAGAGGCAGTGTAGGGTTACAGCCTTTACTGGATAGCCTATCTGCCAGTGCGTGTTGCCTCACCTGGACTGTGGCAAGGCCTTCCCCACGAACAGGAACACGGCTTTCTCCGAGGGAAGCTGGATGCGCTTGCGGATGATCCACATGAACTGGGCCACGGTGATGTCAGCGGGCACAAGGAACTTGCGCTTGTCGATGTCTTGGATCTGCGAGTTGGGGGCTTTCTGGACGATGACTGGAATGCGCTCTGGGTACTTGGCACGAATCTTGGATGCTTCCGCAAATCGCTGCTCTGTGTTTAAGCAAAGAATTCCCCAAATTGTCATTTGGTTTTCTTATACTACACTGTGCATGGAATGAATGTAGAAAAATTTGGAGTATACAAACTATCTAATTGGCAAGAACTGCTGTTCCCAAGTCAAGGTTTCTGACAGGTCTAAATTACCATGAAGAACTTTCCGAATATGATATAAAAACATGGACTTTCAGGAACTTCTTACAGTGTAAATGTTACTTAACTGCTTCGAGATCCTTATCAGTCACACATGCACAATCCCTATCAGGCACTAGTAATTAAGGTATCCGATATCGGTCTACTGCCTCCACCTTCATTTGGCAGCTGCCCCAATATTTCACTGCTTTGAAAATGTTTATCATTTCCAACAAGGATTTTGAAAGAAAAAAAGGAGAAGCGACTGTGCTTTGTGAATTGCTCTGATGAAAGACTGTAAGCATGGTAAGTTGTCAAAATAAAATTACTTCAACAAATGTAAATTTCATTACAGAAAGCTGGTCATCATATCACATGCACTGTTCCAAAGAACAAACATCTTAGTAGCAAGATTTTCCTAGATTAGACTTAATAAATCTAGAAATCATCTCATATTTATGGTAAGTTAATTTTTTGAAGGTTATATTGCTTATTGGTGGCGTCTGTATGTATACATATATGGAACTCTTGCCCTAGATTCCTAGAGCTTTCACTGATGTAACCAATTATATAACAAAGCACCATGCAAAAATGATGCATAACTTGGGTTATATCATATCATCATCATAATTATCATCAGGTTATATGTACATGCAGGCGTAGGGTCTACACACAGTACATGTACACTCATCATGACCAGATGACAGTTAGGCCTATGAGTATGACACAATGTGGCCCAGCCATCATGATCATTTCATTTTTACGACACACGGTGGACAAAACTTACCTTCCGGGGTTTCTTCCTTGAATGCCCACTTCATTTTCCCCAATTATCCCAAATCAATGCAACAGAATGCCGAATGAAATCTTCTTTCACTTTTGATAGTCGCACAAGCCCCAGTGTACATGTAAACGTCACCTGATAATAAGTCGTGATTATGTGCCAACACGAAGTTCCGCCAGCCAACCTTCTGTACTACTACTCAGTACTAGTAGTATCATTAAATACTATTGTTTTGGTTTAGTGCTAAAAATAAACATAGCCATTGACCCCGTCAAAATGGCGGGTTTTGGCTAAGCTGATGGAACTCTCATTGGATAGATGTTGTTCACCNGATGACCTAGTACGCACTAGCGCGAGCACGAAGATTATGTGTGAATGTGCTCCCCACAATCCCTTGCGTCACTTTTTGGTATCTGTATCTGTGCAGCAAGTAGTCACCATTGCCCTTGCCGCTGATACGCGTGGGGACGAAATTTTAGGCGGCCAGATTGGTAACCAGCCATTTGACGATAATGGAACTTTACGATACGTTTTAGGTACCAGTCATCGGCTTTGTCATAAACCTTCCTCCTCCATTTATGCATGGCCGTTTTCCAATACTCAACTTCGTCGCCGTCTCAGGCGGCGCCCCGAAACCAATCCCCGATTGTGGGTCTGAAGCGTTTAAATCAAATTGAATTACTATAAGTTTTTGCTCTCTTGCATCTTATTTGATATTCTGTGGCACTATTAAACTAATTAGTGCGCTTACAGCTTCAAATTCAGGTAGTAAAAAACAGTTGAAGCCTGAACGGAACCGAAGTTGAGTATTGGAAAACGGCCGTGGTCAAACGCGGTAAACACCAAGATACACTGTCTTCTCTCCATCATATCCACCAAGAAATACAACCATTTGGTGGAATGCATCCCTCAATTTGTAATGTGGCTCAGGGTATTGTTTAAAAAAATTAAGAAAGAGTAAATAGGCTTATATATAAACATGATTTCTTTTGTGAGTTTATTATTTAATGTTAAGCCTAAATAATTTTCTTTTAGTTTTGCACGAGTCTAAATAGTTTGCTAGAATGAAAAATGGCGGTTCTTGAAATTTATTCTCATCCAGTTGATCAGCGATATAAAGCTAGTTTGTGCTCGAGTGCAACATTTTTTGTGATTGCAGCATTCTTGTTTACACTGTTTGCACCGTTCATAATAGTTTTCTGGAGTGAAGGTATTTAAAATCTTTTTTAGTGAATAAATTCAGTTGTGGTTTGAAAACTTCGTTTAGCATGTTACTAGCTTAGGCTTTAGCGGGCCTAAATGAGTAGCCTAACGTTATTCATTTCGGGTGTCGGTCACTTCGCCCCATTTTTACTTGCCAGATCGCCCCATTGCCACTTCGCCTCATCCCAGGCCAAGAAAGCTTGTGGAAATATAGCTCTACTAAAACTAAGTGGAGCGTTATAGGCTATTCGTCTTTTACAAAACAGAACGCTCCACTTAGAGCTAGTGGAAATATAGGAACTGTCTTGAGGCAGTCATCGATCAACATCAAGAACAAATCACCATGATGGCCACGTTTGCCTCAGAACTGTGGGGTCCGCTCCGCTCCCACGAACTGAGCGGACGTCGGGCCCCACAGCTAAGTTCTGGGGGTCGGTCATGCTATTGACTGGTATTAAGAAGAGACTTTCATGACTTTGGACATGTTGGACTATGTTACCTAAAAGTTAAAGTTTAAACCTGGGGTAGGCCTATGAATAATTTGACCAGGAGCAAAAACCAACCCTGAGCCATAGGCCTATTTATTATTATGCAGATGAGGTTTAGCCGATACACATGTGGGTTTGTGTATTGCAACAAATTGACAAAGGATAAAGTGGAGGTACATGTACCAACATTAATAGCTTTTACAAATGAAGAATTTAGAGGAGTAGGCCTATATTATTTTCCAACATATCCAAAGGGTATGAATTAATTTTAGCACAACTGTAAACAAAGTATTGCTCATGAAAAGAGCTTTACACAAAAATCACTAGTTTTGACCACTCAGGTACTATTTCTTTAATTTATTTTCTTAAAATACATTAGAAAAAGGCTTTATCTCACCATGAAAATATTTTTGGTCGGGTACATGTATTTTTATTTCCAGAAAGGGGAAAAAGACGTAAATTTCATGAAATGAAGCAGCTGCTTGCCTGGCACGAATTCTCGTGGCCCTCATTACGTATGCAAATGGCCCTAAAGTGGGACATGCACAGTTAATAATTTCCCTCTTAAAACTAATTTTCCCTCTTGGGCTACTGCTGCATGTGTATATTTCTAACACTTTGATGTAAAGTAGTTCATCTTGTGCACAGGTGTAATAAATTATTGACATTCAAATAATGCACCAAAGCCCATGATGCCCAGTTGCCTGGTGAGTCTTGAAGCTTAACAGTCAGAATTGACTATGTTCTAAAACTGTTCTGAAGCAATACCGAACACATAAAAACACAATCAATAAGCCATGTGTGAGTTAAATTTGAATAACATCTGGCACACTGAGTTATCTGATTGCACATGAACATAAAAATTTGAATTCCCCAAGACTAAAGACACTGTTGCTATACCTTGTGATTCGGGGCAAGCTTTTGCATAGCGACCGCCATCTCTGGAATAGACTGGTTCCTTTATGCCATTCTTATCCATTGAGAACAGTGTATTGTTGCAAGGTGTCTTTTATGTAACTAAGCAAAAGCTTGCCCCGAATCACGAGGTATAGCAACAGTGGTGTTAGTATGGAGAATCCAAGCTGTTATGTTCACATGAATTAAAGAACTCAGTGTACTAGATCTGGGTCAAAGTTAACTTGGAAAAGGCTTATTAATGATCGTGTAATTTCGCTCGATGAAACCAAACAAGTTTAGGCCCCCTATACACTTGCAGATAAACGTACCAATTGAAGGATGAGAATAGGCCAATAGTGTACCTCTGCATTACATTCAGACTTAACATATTTAGGATTAATTCAATCCTATTTTGCCTCTTTTATGTTCTGTAAATATATGCATAGATTCAAAATGTCTGTGGCTAGTAGGTGTCAAAACCTCGCCATTCAAGTTGGTGCTCTAGTAGTTGAATGTAGCTCTGCGATCAGAACCAACATAACCCACGGTTTCTTTCGGTTTCCTCTGTGTAGGGTTATGGCTCAAGACAGCTTTCTACCGGGAGCAGCCCACGGTTCAGTTCAAACACCAGATGCTCCTCCTTGTCGACACGCAAGATGAAGCGTCGTACCTCGCCTGGAGCACCTACCAGAACTTCAACCAGTTGCAGCAACAACACCTTAGGATTCCCCTTGTCAAGGTACGGAAAGAGTGTGAATGATCACTGTTCTACTTGAAATTGTACAGAATGTACCGAAGGTTAGGTTTGGGTGACCATGTCCTTGCCTTACAGAGGACTGTCACCATAAAAGTCTCATCTAAGTCTCACACTGTGTAGGACAAATGAAAACATTACTTGTGCAAGAGCACCGCAAAATAAATCACTTGCTTTACTGCACTCATTAGTGCTTCACATATGGATACATGCAGTTGTACGCAGCTGAAATTTTAGTTTTCTCTTGCCAGGTGAAAGCCAGCATCGCGTACACTAGCTGTACTATTGTAAAAAGGTTGACCAAAAAAGTTGGAGAAAGAAGCTGCACTCTGTAAATTAGCAAGTGTTTGTATTTGTAGCCCAACTCAATACTTCTCTCAAAAAGTATCAGATACGAGCTTTTGTCTCAAATTTTCAACATGCACGGTTTTGTTTAAAAAGAAAGTTGCCCACCACAAAGTCTTCCAAGGTCAACTCAAGGCGAGGGCTACTCAAGGAGGCAATAGAAGACAGGAGCTCAGTATAAAAATTGATTATGCATATAGAGAGCGTTTTAGTTTCTGTTCAAACTGGGGCAGATTACAAGCAGCTGGGAAACTGGCTACAAATGGCAAATGGAAATGGCAACAGGAAGTTAGAACACTCCAGATGAAGCTACCTTTTGCCTTTGGGACAGAGAGCCCGCATCTTCACCAGAGGTAGCGTCTGATTGTTGTTGCACGGCTTTTCTTTTTTATTTATCCTTTCTCCCCGCGCAACAAAGACAAGAGAAGAAGATAACAACCGTGATGGCAAGTACGACATGCTGCATTTCTCTGTATCAGTACCCGTCCTGGCAACGGAAAGCGTCTTTGGCGTCAAACTCATTCTGCTCTTTGACTACAGGTTATACGTAAGTGATGGGGATTTTGAATCCTTCCGGTCTTTCAACTCACTACAACCCCAGTGCCTTTTGTCCACAGAGTTAGCATGTGAGCACACTTTGAAACCTTTTGAAGTAATTCTGCATGACACGTGTCTTGCTTTTCATACCCTTTGCCAATCTTCAACCCTAACCTTCCCCAACCGCACAGAATTAAAC